CGAACCAGCTCTCTCAGGCAACCTCCCTAACGTAAACCATTTCTTACTCTCTTTATCATACTTCCTCACCTCCATAGCAGCATGATCCGCAGCATAGAGCTCATTGTTCACAACAGCAACAAGAGGCGGCGCTCCTGATGCACTGCTCATTGGAGGCGACATCTCCGGAATCTCAGTCCATTTCTTGGTCTCCAAATCATACTCCTCGCCGCATGTAAGGAGTTTGGATTCACTCCCACCGATTCCACCTATCACATAGACTTTACCGTCTATGAAGACACCGGAACTCATCTTCCTAGGCTTGTTAATCTTAGGAAGTGTAGTCCACGTCTGAAGTTCAGAGTTATACATCTCCGCAACGTCACTGATCTTCCCTTCAAAATCACACCCACCGGCGAAGATTGCAATCTCTCCTGAGCTAGCCGAGCCAAACAAACACCTCGGAGAGTTCATCCTCTTACCAAGAGACCAAGAGTTAGTCAAGAGACTGTACCTATACACAAATTGAGACCTATACACAATGTGAGAGGAATCATCTTCATCATCTGTGCCTAAGACAAGCAAATCTGTTCCGACAGCGAGAGATTCTCTGTCCCCACACTTGAAGGCCTCACTTGAATCCATCTCCGGCAAATTCATCCATCTTCCTTCGACAGGGTTGAAAGCAACCCATTCCTCGGGATGGCAGGAGAAGTAAACCCAGTTCTCAACGATCATGTTCTGTCTCCTGAGTCTGTAAAAGTCTCCGGACTTAACCAGAGACAGGAAACTCTTGTTTAGGCAAGCGACTGAACAGTAATCAGACCGAGAGCAACGAAGCAGACAGCTTATTGACATGTCCCTGCCGATGTCGTTGATTAGTGAATCCCCATCGCCGTTTTCTTGTTGTTGGTCCGAATCGTTTTCTTGAATTGACAATCTCGTGAGTTTGAGAGATTTGCTTTGTCTGAGCTCCTCGTCATCATCAGCATCATCATCCAAAGCTATTTTGCCATTTCGGAGCTTAGATTCGGAGGAATCTTCTTGTGATGATGGATGCATGTTAAGTGATTCTGAGAGACGAGAGAAAACTCTCGATAACAGATACGTCCGATCGTCCACCATCTTCTCTTTGGGATAATCTTCTAACACAGAGAAACAGAGATGTCAGATTAAATTGAAAGACAGATTCAAAGTATTCTCATTTTCGATAAATCAACGATTAAATGGATTCACAATTACCGATGCAACCACCAAATAACAAACCCAAATATAAAAATGTCAGCTTTCAATAGTCAGATCTCCAAATTTGAAACTCTATTCACCCAGAAAATAAATAAAAAAACATTAAGAATGGCTGACCTCGATCTGAGTATGATGATTCCCCAGAGGATAAGAAGAGAAAAAACCTTTAGAAAGAAGGAAGAGGAGATAAGAGAATGAAATGATATATATAATAAGAAAAAGGAATGTACTTACAGATTGACCAAAGAAGAAAGAAATAAGTTTTATAAAGTTTATGTTTCCGTTTCGTTGTGTTTGTTTCTGTCGTCTCTCTCGGTGAATCGGAGTGAAGCTTAAGAGCTTTTTTCGAGCTCAAATTCAAATTTCTCTCTTTAAAGTTTTTCCTATTTGCTCTTTTGGATTAAAAGTGTTGAAACGGTATTATTTAGTTCACTAATTTAAATACTATTTTCGACATGACGTTAGAGAGAGTCCAAAAACATATTTTAGATAAGTTTTTATTTTTATTTTTTTCCATACTGGTTAACGTATTAAAATTAACATTAAAATAAAAATATAACATATACGTCGTACGCGTCTCCATATTCAGTTTCTGTAATAAAATAATAATCAGTTCTACAAATTAAAGAGAATTTGCATAATTTGTACACACAGCTTTCTCTATAATTAAGGTGTGCCTCAAATCCCACACAATGGTACCTGCATTGCTAGAGAGAAAACTTGTCCTATCATGTGTATTTTGCTAATTTCATCATTTTAGGGGGTTTTAAGCCAATTTACTCTAAATTAAATAGTATTTTGAGAAAGAAATCTCACCATCTTTATATATGGTACATTTTCAAATTTCATTCCTACCCAAGTACATGTGTACTATAAACTATATTCTCTTTCAAACAATTCCATATGTACTATGATAAGAAAAAATCATCTCACCCACACTATTCTTGGCCATATATATTAATTTCCTCTATTTTTCGTTTCAATTGAGAAATATCTTCTCTATTAAAAGAGAAATATCAAATTTATTTACTATTTAAAAGTCTATTAGACCATGTAATTAATTATTTAATATCACATATTAGATTGTTACATTAACCAACCATTCAAATATATATTATTTTCAAAATATCTTAATAATTAATAAAGATATTAATAATAGATTAATTTAAATATAATTGAATCTGTTGAAAAAATCTAACAAGATTTTATCAAAAAATTTAAATATTTTTTTTAGAAAAAGTATTTCTTTATTTTATAATTATATATAATTATAAATTAATTTTAATTAAAACTAAAATATAAATCATATATTTAAAAAATTAATAATATATTTATAAAATGAAAAATATACCCGCACAGATGTGCGGGTGAAACTCTAGTAATAGTGGTATGAAAAAAAAAGAATTGGAGGCCAAGTAAAGGACTTATATTCTACGCATTTCCGCTAAAATATCATTAGGAATATAATGCTTATTTCCATTGAATATAATATTCTCTTATGTTTTTAAAATCTATATTACTCCAATACGTTAAAATAAAGAAATTCTAAATAACTTACAATAAAACTGTACTGGAAAGAGCATATATGTTTATCAGGAGAACTGAATAGAGAAATTAGGAATACGAGAAAACTGTTGACAAAGTAAATCTAGGTTCATGGAGTAGTGTTGGAATGTGAGTTAACGAAGAGTGTCTTAAGATAGAAAACTTTACCAAGTTTTCATGTGTTAGAGGAAGTTCTTATAAGAGTAGTGTTGGAATGTGAGTTAAAATATTATTTATTTGTATGTAGACGATCAGAATTTTTTTTTTTTTTTTTTACGAACTCTTTACGCATAATGAATATGAATATTCTCAAAAGGAAAGTAAGACAACCAGCGTAAACGTTTAGTCTGTCACTGTCCGAATAATATGCAAATTATTGTATTAGTTCTTATTTTTTGGTCATACTCATAGCTATTAAAACTAACAAATTGAAGTTGTGTTTCTTATAAAAAGTAAGAACANTAGTCTGTCACTGTCCGAATAATATGCAAATTATTGTATTAGTTCTTATTTTTTGGTCATACTCATAGCTATTAAAACTAACAAATTGAAGTTGTGTTTCTTATAAAAAGTAAGAACATTTTAAAATATATAGATATAGATAGTTTTTTAAAAAGTTAAACTTAATTTAATAGATAATATTTAAAAGACTTTAAATTTTAGGAAACCAACTACGATTTTACACTCTCTACTTTCCAATTGTTGGAAACATTTACGTCTAATTGTTATGAAAAAGATGGAATTATCTTGCAGAATTTATGTATTTTCACTATATTATCATTTGTAGACAATAAAAAAAAATTTAGATTTTTCTTTGATGGCTAAATTGTCTAAATAGTTTTCATCTAAATAGTAAACAATATCAAAACTCTGAGACAATTTATTGGTTTTGTAGGAAGGTACGATGAATGTCAAATTTATAGTAAATCATACTTTTTAAATATAGTTTTTTTTCTTCGGATTCTTTTACTTAGTATAATAAATGATGTTTTAAAGAATCTAATTTTTTGAAAACCAACAACTATTTTACAGTTTCTCTTCTTCCATCTGGCAAACAATATTCTAACCGTCAGGAATCAAAAGATAGTGTATTGGAGAAATATAATAATACTATAATGTTTATTTAATTTCTTAAGGAGTAAACAAAGCACGTTTACATAGAATCCACAAACAATATAATAAACTTAATTTCTTTGGTGGAAAAATATAATATCTAATTTATGGGAATTTACACTAATTAGCTTGTTCCATAGTTACAAAAATCTAATATATGTAAATATATATATATATATATATATATGAAATTAATGCAGTGCATAATGATACATTCGAGAGAACTTACAAATACCAACCATAGCTAATGTACTAACCTAACCCTTAATTGACATCCATATCAAGTACTAACCTAATAAGCTCAGATCGAAAGAGTCCAATTAAGATAATTAGAATCCTTAACCCAGGAGCCCACGTGAGACAAAGTCCTGTTTTGAAAAGAAACATCCAATCAATAAAAAAGCATTCCTCTTCCCAAGTCCCACTCCTTCACATGCCCTCTCTCTCCTAATCTTTCCCTCAGTTCAGCAGCCGTCGCAGCTACAACACAACCACCAGTTCCTTCTCAACTACCATCTCCTCCGCAATTTCCATTGGAGACTACCCGACTCCACTCTCTCCGACCTCGAACCTTCCTAGATGCTAACACTTCTTCAGAAGATGTGGACTTACTTCAAAATGTTTTTACAACTTCACACACCCATTCTAATCTCGTCTTTCTTGCCTATCTTATAATCTTATTTTCTACTCAAGTCCCTGTGTATCATCAAAGAAAGGTCAAGTAAGACAAACCTATACACCCTAGGTTACATTTCAGAAAGTAAATATGAATCATAAATTCCAAAACATAGAAATCGAAGCAGAATAGGAAGTAAACAGTTTTTTGTCTGTATTTTGGGATGTAAATACTCTTTGAGCTATGGACATAAAAATATAAATTATCATATTCCACAGAGAGGTGAAAACGAAGCAAAATTCCTTATACATTGACCACTTTCCGAGGAGTATATTTAAGCACAAGAGAGCTGTATTTTATGTCAAAGTACAAACCAATACATATACGAACATAAAGAACACTAAGAAGGTGAAATAAAAATAATTCATTCATAGGAATATAGAGAAAAGGAATTTACCAGGAGATGTCTATGGAGAGCTCTTGATAACAACCAATATGTATCGAAGTCAGACGGCCCTTAAATTTCAAAAGTGTGAGAAATCTACGATTTTGTGTTTACCTTATAATGGATTTAACAACCGAGGAAGGAAACCTGATTTCTCTATCTAGTTTCTCCTCCTATTCACATATTAAGATAGGTGAATCATGATAAAACAATCAGAATTAAACAAATATGAGATATAACTGATAAAGATAATAACTTACTTTGTTTCACGTACAAATATGGTGATTGCAACTGGAACAAATCTGGTAAGTTCATGTAAATATAGGCGAAACCAAATAGCAATTAAACCGACGGAAATGGGCAAAGTAGAAATGAGTTTTGTGGAGCAGAATAAATGTCAGTTTTCAATTTCGAAAGCCTAAACATGGTGTCCTAGCAATCTCATTAATTCATGAGAAATATATGAATAAATGCGATAACTTACCAATGATTCGCCGAGTATATCCAGCGTCATTGTAGATCTTAGATTTGAAAATCATTTTCTGAGTGAAGTTGAGATAAAGAAATCGAANATAAATGCGATAACTTACCAATGATTCGCCGAGTATATCCAGCGTCATTGTAGATCTTAGATTTGAAAATCATTTTCTGAGTGAAGTTGAGATAAAGAAATCGAATCAATATGTAAAAATGAGAATTCGAGGGGGATGGGAGAGGCCAAGAGGCTGTAAGGGCTGGAGTTGATTCTGGAGTCTTGATATCCATGGGATAACAAAGAGAGACGACGGGGATGTGGATAGGGGATTTGAAGAGATTGTGTCAGTTTCGCTAGTGAAAATAAAGAGATGCTATAGTGAATCATAATTGTGCACTGAAGCGTTACCTCTAAAGATCTGAAGAGAACATGAGTTTAGTCTTTCGGCGTGGGAGATGAAGAAGACAACGATCCTTTGACGTATTATTTGGCTGGTTAATGGGCAATTTAAAAATGTTAAGAAATACCAAAATGAAGGACCGGTTTTGTGCGATCTTTGTAATGGGCTAAGCATTACCGTAAATCAAACATACGGTCTAAAATCAACTTTACACGAAAAACACCAAAACAGACTAATTAAGAATGACATGGCAGAATCATGTGACGCCATTGGTCGATTAAATTGTCCTACGTGGACAGTCTAAAAAATCTAGAATAAGGGCTTTTAATAATGTAAGATTATTAGATAAAATTTATGATAGCAAAAATAATATGTACATATATATTTTTAGTATATAAACCTTACTTATTTAGTAGCTTTCCCGGTTGCCTCTAGATTCATCATATATATATATATATATATATATTGATAGTATAAAACAATTCCTTTTTGTTAATGTTGGTTAATATCTCAACATTAAATTTTATTTAACCTTGTAGATAATATGCTATAAAAAGAATACTACAATTAAAATAAACTTATTATTATTTTTAGAATTCTCTTTGGTTTAATATTTTTTACAGGAAACATTTATAAGAAATATTGTTTTTGTAAATATTAAATTTGTAAGGAAATTATCTTCAAATACTGTTTTTATTTTGTAACTATCTCGACCCTACGTCTTAAAATAATATCATTAAATAATTACGGGCTTTTTTCAAATATGACATACAATTTCAAGTCAAACACAAAAATAACCTATGGTTTTTTGAAACTTTCATTTTCCCTATTCACCCTAAGAGTTGGAGTTATTCACGAAAATGCTATTACTTTATTTTTTTCTGAAAATGAATCTTTTAACTTATCATCTTCATCTTCCTCAAGTATTTACAATATTGTCATTTCCATCAATACATCAACCACCAAGAACAACCAATTTGAAGCTCTTAATTCACCAAAGATTTGATTTTTACTTTTCATATCTCAATACTTATACACACAAATTACATATCTTACACTTTCTCTTTATGTTCATTAAAAACCAAGATTTTATTCCAAGCTTTGTAAGGTTCATAGAGACATTGAAGCTCATGATTCTTGATCATTAACGAATTGGTAGCCTTTGTAGTGAAGTTCTGGGGTGCTTAGAGAAGTTAAACAAGTCATCTTATATGTTCAAGATATGAAATCGTTTTTTCAGATCTGGTCATGAAGACTTTCAAGGAACTTCAGGAAGACTTTGCTAGATGTGTTCTCCATCGAGAAGACTTCCTTAGAAGTCTTCTAACTTTCCTTTGTTAACAAAAAAATAACTGAAAATCTCAAAGAAGATTTTTGAAAAGTCTTATCGGTTAAACATGTTATTTTTGTAATTGACCGAAGTATCGAAAATTTGATTTTGTATAAAAGACTTCTCGGAAAGTCTTCTCGGGAAGATTTCTATAAAATTCTTTTGAAAATCTTCCCGAAGTCTTATCATTAGCCCAATTGAAAAATAATAGTAAAACATTTAATATTAATGAGAAGAGTTCTTGAGAAATCATCTGGAAGAAGACTTTTATAGAAGTCTATTCAAATTTTAGTCCGGGTTTTAGTCAAACTTTTGACGCAGAAAACGTAAAATATAGTCAATTGCAAAAGTGTCCTAGGTAAACTTATGTTATACTCTTGTGCTTTTGTTGGAAACCTTTAACCCCACTTGGAGCTAGAGTCCCAAGTTTTTTTCCCTTACTCAATAAATATCTATCTCTCTTGCCAAACCGAATTAGGAACATAAAGAGACCCATGTTGATCTAAATAAAGGAAATTTGAAAGGAAGAGCTAGTCCATAACATATTGACATCCATAAGAATGTTAAAATAACATGGTTAATTAAATTTCATTGAAAATGTGTTTGATTTTACGCTATAATATATTGAGGACTTTGAAAACTATCTCATGTTGAAGGAGAAGACATGAACTCAATTGTGAAAAGAATATCAAAGTGTAAAAAATCATGGAACCAAAAGTGGGGGGAAAAGTTTGTAAGCTTTAGGGAATGATTGGTCGTGCCACCCTCCTCCCTCTCTCTCTTTCTCTTGACATTTGTCAAGGTTGCCTTACAGCTGTTTATGATTTTATACCATTCCATTCCGTACCCCCAACGATCAAAACTAGATTGAGGATTTTTTTTTTGGAGGGGTCAAAACTGGCTCATAACCTTTGATTGAAACCCAATATCGTAAGTACATCTTACTTATACTGATCATTGAGGTTACAACTTTTGATGTGTAATTTATTAGAAGAACCAAATTTGATCTAGTTGATGAGGAGTTGAGGACCCCAAAGATATAGAAAAAGTGAGAAGATATAAGATGGGTCTTTGAAGATTGATCACATTAGCTATGGGTCCTTTCATAGAACACAAGTGTTGTAAGTTATTGAGATACTAATTAATTTTGTTTTGTTGGAACTCTATTCTCACAGAGCATATACTAAAACATATTTATTTTGATGGTTGAAAGCTTATAAAGAGAAGACAGACTCTAGACTCTAGACTCTTATGCACGCTTTTTTGACATACACACGTGTACATTCAAAATGAACAAATATATGTGAATAAGTTGTGCACATAAGGTAAACTATTGATTGCTTACCAAAAAAAAAAAAAAAAAAAAAAAATACCAATCTACATAACAATAAGTGTACATATGGTTTTGTGTGTTATTCATAGCAAATGATTTTAGCTTTGATTTTAGTTCATTTAATTTATTTTCCAATATATTTTATTAGCTTTGAAAATTTGGAGGTAAAAATGAAAGCAATAAAACAAGGATCATCTTGCAATTAAGAAGAAATACTGGAATAAGTAATCAAAGAGTTTGTTGGTTATTTTGTGTATACTTTGTGACATGTACATGTGTACTTCGAAAATGGACACCAATATATGTGAAGAAATTGTATACAAGTAGGTGAATGATGGTAGTTTACTAAAAAAAAAAAAAATACATAGTAAAATAGATCAAATCAAACTGAATATGTGTACATAAGGGATGTACATTTTGTAAAACCTTTGTAATATAAAACCACAATTTTGATGTGCAACAAGCATATTTCGAACATATGTGTACATAAATAATATATAATTTTGTACATAAGCACGATTGTACACATGTACATAACCACGAATGTACACATGTATACACGACCACGATTGTACATATTTACACATGTGTACACGACCACAATTGTACATATTTACACACATGTACACATGTACGTAGTCATTATGTACTCGTGTACGTGAATGACATACATAAACACACACAAAACATAATTATTTATTTGATAGTATGGACCAAAAATGAAAGCAAACAAAAGATAAAAAAAAAAAACTAATTTGTAGTTAAAATAAGACTGAAATGGACAATCAAAAATTTAGGGAGCTAATTCGAGTAGACATTTGCACAATTAAAAAAAATTAGAGTCAAAATGCAATTATGTGAATTATAAAGGACCAAATGAGCAAAAAAAAACTAAAACAGCCATTGATGCTGTCGGGCTTGTTCTGACGGAGTCGCGATGGCGAGATGTGAGGCCATGACTTCGGAAAAGAAGAAACTGAATTAGTTTGATTGGAAAGAAACAGAGTGGACTTAGTTTAGAAAAACTACCTCAGTAGTCATAACTGTCCTAGAATGAAATAAAAAAACTTAAAACTGTTCTACGGTGTAAAAAACTCTAAAGAGAATATCAACTCATATTTCTTTGCAGAAAATATACATGTCCAGATACCTAATTAATTTTGTTTTCTATGGTTATTGAGCTGAATAGCTAAAAAAAAAAAAGAAGTCTAGGTAACAACCTTTCCTTCAAATGCATTCATGCATCAAATTAGTTGCCAAGATACCATTTTATTCATCCAATTAAAAATCATTTAAAAACTGATAACTAGATTCTGATTATCTCGCAGCCAAACTAAAGTTACGGGGTACAGTGAGTAAAAATTATTTTAATATCCGTTGTGGAAACTTGTGAACAAAGACGACGTTTTGTTCTGTTTTAAGTTGTGGCGCAAGAAAGTCAATCAATAAGACCTATTGACAAAACTTAATACACATATGCGATGATGTAACCCTTTGTTCCTAGAAACTTCTAAGATTCATTCGTTCATTTACAATCTTTTAAATAATATAAAACAATTCTGAGACCATGAGATTTGACCGGTTTAACGCTTCATTTCTTCAGATTGTGTCAAATCCCTAAATCCAATTTTAAAATACTTTACAAAACGATTTTCTTTCCTATCAATCTGATTAAACAAATAATCTTGTCGCGTCAAGACTTAAAAATCCATTACAAATCTTGTATATTAATACCAAGGTCGTCTCTCTTGTCTGTAAATCAAATCCTCAATAATTAAAAACAAAGCAAACGAAAACCCCCTTGAAACTCTCCTAATCTCACAAGAACATCACAAGATCAAAGAAACCAAAGGATCCAACTAAAATAAAAATGATGAGCCCAGTTAGATCTTCATGCCCTTTGCCAAGAAAATCAAGAAAATCGAGCAAGAACCCTTATTCAAATCGTGGACTTGACAAATTCTCTAAGCTTCTCTCTGAGCTCGACGAGAAGAGACAGAGTATCTACTCCAAGAAGCTAGATTCCGGTGGCCCGCCTCTTGTCCGGTTCGTGTTCACAAGCTCCGGCGAGTGTGTCCCCGTCGTGATCAAATCATCTTATCTTCATAAACAGTGGAAGACCAAAGATGTTGCTGCTGCTGCGGTTAAAGTCAAAACAGTGGTCAACGAATCGAAAACAGAGGAGACGAAGAAAACAGAGCCTGAAACAGAGGAGAAACAGAGCTGTGTTTTGAACGAGAATCTGAAGAAGATCACGAGACCGAACCGGTTCTTTCCCGTGACTGTGATCTTGGTTCTTGTTTTCTTGGCTTTATTTGGGAGATCTGTTGCGATTATGTGCACCTGTATTGCTTGGTACTTGGTTCCAAGTTCCAACGATCAAGGAACAAAGCGGAAACAGAGGATCTTACTCATACGCTATGAAGAAGAAAGATTTCGCTAGGAAATTGAGTATTGAAAACAGAACATCGTTCAATCCAAGAACTGTTCGTAATCATTCTCCTAGCAAGTAGAACTTTTGTTTTCTCGTGAAAATACCGCGTGACCGAGCAAAAACGTTATTTAGTTTATTTCTTGTTACGTTTAGTATTGTCTGTTTCTTTCATAGTTGTTAATTTTGAGACAGCTGAATTATCAGAAAATTGTGTAAATATGCAAGTGGGCAATGTTCTACATATTATCTGCTGCCTACTGGGAACATAGCTGATAGCTTGAACATATATATCAAAATACTATAATAACTAAAAAGACTGATGATGATAATATCTATATTATAATAGTATATTTTCTAGGCTCCACAGCGCACCACGTCAGCAGTTTTGTGAGTCCCGTAGATATTTTTAAACACTCATAGTCTTGGTAAGATGATTACAAACAATGAAATACACTTTAGCCAAGTGGTATAAGATGTCTAATTAAGTTTGCAAGATCGTGGATTCAAACCACGTAGCTATCATGTATTTTTGATTTTTTTTATTTGAGTTATTATCATATGGGCTTTTTGTTTATAAGGTTTTTATGTATTTTTGGGCTTATTTTTTTAAATATCAAAATAGTTGGATAAACCCTAAATCTTAACAAGTTCAAACCCAAAATAGTTAAAAATGAATCGCAAACGAACAATAAAAAAACAAAAAAAAAGCAAGTCTCACGCGGTTGCCTACGCGGATGGCTTAAAAAAACTTAAAACTATCCTATTATAATATAGCTCAACATAAAAATAATTAAAAATAAATCCAAAAACGAACAGACCAAAAAAAAAAAAGTGAATTCCACGCGGGTGCCTACGTGGATGGCTTAATAAGGCTTGAATAATATAGATTAGTAGCACAAAAAGTTAAATCATTACACATATTTCCTAATATATATTTCCAAAAAATTTGTATGTGAGATAAAATTAAAAAAAAACAACAAAAATTAATTATTTTTATTTATTAAATGAATATGTAATTTCTCTTATATTTTAATAACTACTATAATTTCATTGAAAACATTCCTCACCACCGTCACCACCGATTCCACACTCCGGCGAATGGATTCCCACAGTCGATGACGCCGTAGATAAAAATGGCACATCATTTATGAACAAAACTCAAACTTACAAAAAACCATATATAAAAATCTATCTAACGAAACTTAAACAACGAATATTAACTTACTTAAGGTTATTTTCAAATTGATAAATCGTTTAATACAAATATAAATAATAGAAATATAGAATTATATCAAGTTTTGATCTACGATATAAAAACTATTTACAGCAAAAAAAAAACACAGCTACTTTTACACACTAAAAACTATATTATAGCCTAACTATTCCTATAAAGCTTACTTCGCATATAAATAACATTTAACACATACCTAATATTTTTCAAAAAAATTGTATGTGAAATAAAATAAAATAAAATAAAATAAACAACAAAATTTAAGTATTTTTAGTTATTTATTAAATGAATATGTAATTTCTCTTACATTTTAATAACTACTATAATTTCATTGAAAACATTTCTCACCACTGACTCCAGACTTCAGCGAATGGATTCACACAGTCGATGACTTCGTAAATAAAAATGCCACATCATTTATGAACAAAACTCAAACTTACAAAAAACCATATATAAAAACCTATCTAATGAAACTTAAACAATGAATATTAACTTAATTAAGGTTATTTTCAAATTGATAAATCGTTTAATACAAATATAAATACTATAAATATAGAATTATATCAAGTTTTGACATACGATATAAAAATATGAAATTTTCCATTTCATTATTATTTGGTGTCATTAGAAGAATCCACTAAACTGACAATCGCAAAAAATACACGCAAATATAATGATCCTGGCCCCGCGCTTGCGCGGGGGAGTAGGGGTGGGCACAAGCCAAGTACTTGCCCTTTTGGGTGTACTTGATACTTGGCTTGGCTTGTTCGAGTAATAAAATTTTGGACTTGTACTTGGTTTATTATAAACGAGTACTTGCACTTTCAAGTACTTGGTAAAATATGGTATACTTGCAAGTACTTGCTCCGTTTTACTACTTGTTTGCTTCTGAACTAATTTATTTAATAATTTTTTAATAATTTTTACTACTTAAACCTTGTATATGAATTTTATTTAGTTAGTTATAATTATAATCTATAATTTTTAATAAAGAATATTTATTTATTTTTCATATGTTTAAAATCGATATATGATAAAAATAAAATTAAAAAAACTCTAAAATATTTCTATAATATATCACTTTTAATTCATTTATTTTATAAACAAGTAATTTGATTATAATTTAGAGATTTTTATGCTTAAAAGTAAAAAACGGGTAATAAATCAAGTTATAAATCACGAGTAACAAGCCAACAACGCCAAGTAGTTACTTTTATTTTAGTACTTGATACTTGTCTTGTACTTACAAGTAATTGAAATAAACGACTTGATACTCGACTTGAACAAAACGAGTACTTGACTTTAAGAGCCAAGTACGAATCAAGTAGCGAGTACAAGCCGAGTAGCAAGTAATTGTGCCCACCCCTACGGGGGAGTACGCAACTAGTTTTTAAAATAATCCTAGTTGTCTACTTTCTTTAGATTTTCTTTAAATGTAATATTTATTCAAGTAAAGAAACGTTTTTATATCAAATGCATCATTAGATAGAGCTTCGAATATTTGTGCTATTATAGAATTATAATACTCATGCATATTAACCTGAACTAGATCATCCGCGCAATTTTATTTTTTTCGGATATACTCTATATAATTTAGTTTAATATACTTTTGAGTTTGTTCAATTCAATTTTATATTTAAAGAATAATATCAAAACAGTCTTTTGTATTAATAATGTTAAGCAGTGTATTATGTTAATGTAATCATGTAGTGAAAACACTAATTCAGTACGTTTATTCGAAGTCCAAAATCAAATTCAAAGTTAACTATTTGCATTAAAAAAAAGTTGAGAATTTAATTACTTCTGATGTTAATAATTATCCAAAATTTTTAAACTAATATACAAATTTTGAGAATTTTTAGCATTAACCTTTATTTTATAGGTTATGTCAAATTCAAAGTTAACTTTGGTCTTAACTTTGCAAGCACATATATTTTATGTTGAAAAAATAAAAAATTACTCAACAAATATTTTGGTAATTTTAAAGAATTTATGTATTTAAAATATATTTTTATTTAAATCAGTATTTTTAAATTCAACCCGAACTGCGGTTAAACCGGTGATCCGGTAATTCAATTTTGATTTTTAAAAATATTCATATTAAAAAAGTCACTAAAACCCGAGACTAACCGATTAACTGATATTTAATATTTAAACCTGTAAAAATAAGTTTATTTTTATTGTTTTATATATTATTTAATTTTTTAATTTATCTAAATAAGTTGAAAAAAATTGTGAAAATATTAAAAAGAGTGAGATTTAATATTTTGTATTGTTTGTATATAAAATTAATGATAGTGTTGTTTGGAAACATGGATAATAGTAGAAAGAAATAAGTAAATTGTTTGAAAATATAGATAGTAGAATAACGAAGTAAATATATTGTTTGGAAACATGGATAATAGTATAAAGAAAAGAATATTAGTGATTTAATGTATGTTTAATTATAAAGTAGAAAAATATATTTCATTTAAAAACTTACAAAATAAATGTTAGGTCCAACCTAATGTTTTTGTTCTAATAAGATAGATTACGATTTAGTGTAGTCTTGGCTGCTGTGTTATCTACTGCTAGGTACATCGTGACATTATCTACATTTTTACTTTTGACTTTTGTTTTGAGTTTCCTAATAGTTTGTAATTGTATGATCTACATATTTTCCTTAAACAGTGCCACGAGCCACTACAGCGCAAAATTTTAAATTATTGGAAGAATTTGCAAATTCATGATTAGGAGCACTGAACACACAATAATATAGTATGTGATTATGCCACCAGTGTGGGTTGTTAAATAGTTTATGATCTTGAAGTAGATTTAGAAATCACACTAACCATAGAACCTTAGACTTCTAAATTAAACACAAACTATATTTTTCATTAAGTTCAAAAAAAAACTATATTTTTCATTCAAGAGAATTTATCAATTTACTAGTGGATAGACATATCATAAGTTTGTGACAAAAAAAAGACATATCATAAGTTAGAATTATAAGAGAAAGATTAATTCCATATTTGATATTTAAAGTTGTTAGTTTGAAAGTTATAAATGTTAAGAAATTCAAAGTTTAAAATGTGTTTAGGTATCACATTCAATTTAAAATGTGATTTTCTTTATTGTCTTATACATTGTAAACTTCAATGGAGGTTTTATAGAGGTTGCGGTCTTCTCAAGGAGTTTGAGGTAAAACAAAGTCGTCTCTTCTTACTCATTACTTTGTCCGGTTCAAATTACTTATTCTTTTAATCGGATCTTATCTTGTATCATTGGTTATGGATATGGTTGTGCTTCTAGAAATTTTGCAATTAAAAACTTTGTTACGAGGGTTACTACTTTAGCGATTATGTACAGCCAAACTAGTCAGAAGTCCGGATGATATATATATATATATATATCTCCAGAAATAAAAAAAGTTCAAGGGTGTGACATACTTTTACCATAAAATCATAGAAGGATGATTCGGAGGCAGTAAAACAAGAATCAGATCCTGAACTTAGAACTCTTGAAAAGATCTTATAAATCTAAAATTAAAATCACAGACTATATTAAAGCAGCACAGCATTTATAGGGTATTTAGTAAAAAGTAAAGGGTTCTGAATTAAAATATTACTACTATCAATGGCACACTCGATGATCTCATCTGATAGGAAGAACAATGAGTGTAATAAGACAACTAAAGCAAAGAGATTAAAGTGGAAACATAGTACGATAAGACTTTCATTCACCAACTACACTTAAGCAACAAACTTTAATACAAAATCTCTGTACTTCAAAAACTACATGGACAAACTTCTGTAAGCTATCTGCAAAATGTAGATGCAATGAAACCTATCAAAAGCAACACATTAATAGAAACAGACAAAGACAGAGTAAAACTATTCTTCTCCTTTATTTTCCTTAACGATTACATCATCTCTTCTTCTACATTTATAGATCCTCTTGGAATCATTTAGACTAATGACAAGATCTTATCCACATACTACAGCTGTCATAGGTGAGTCACGTAGAGTATCAAATCTGTTTCACAAGAGGAGCGTCTCCTTTCCCGTACTCCAGCTCCCTTGCTATGACTCTCTGTCTTTTGTCTCCTGCAACACGTTCTGTTTCTCTGGAGCTGGGCTTTTTGCCTGATCAGCCTGATGTTGCCCCAATGGGCTTACCTTTCTTAAGTTCGGATCGGGTTTCAGATATTTAAGTTTTGAAAGAAAAAATTTAAGTTCTTCATTGCTCACGTTTCAAGTATTTAAAATTTTACTATTAAGTTAACTTTTTAAATATTTAATAGGTTAAAGATTAATAAGTTTGAAAATAAATTATTGAAAATAGAAAATCATTAATCTGATTGTTATTTTTTAATTTTGGATGCAAATTTTGTTATAACATGAAAAAGAAGCTTAACATGCATTTTAAATAGGGAAGTTTACTTAAATGACTCAAATTAGTCTACTAATTACTAGAATAACTCATAACTTTTTAAAATTACTAACTTTTTTTTAATGTCGAAACTGCCCTTTCTAACAATTGTGAAGAAAATGTAATATTACGAAAGGGCCATTGAAATTTTTGAAAAAATCGACGTCGACAGATTTGTTTACGGAAAAATAAATCTGTCGATATATAAATCTGCTAATTAAAACTGTTGTTAAATTTAAATCTACCAAGTACTTGATGGCAGACTTTAGAATTACGGCAGATATTTTTGAGGTGGCTGAATTATTTGCCCGATTTATGGTTGTCAACCGATTTATATATATTAATCTGTCGCATATGTAACCGAGTTTTAAAAATTTCGAGGTTTATTTTGGATCAGTTACATTTTTAAGACCGATTTAAAATTAGAGGCAGATTTGTTTAGCCGATTTAGTTTTTTAATCGATTTTTGTATTCATTTGACGGCAGACTTTTTGAATTTCTGTCTTTGACGGCAGACTTATTGATTAAATATAATTACTAGATTAGGCCACATTAATTATACCAGACATAACCACACGAATTTTTGGTTAATTTATCATATATTTTGGTTTATTTTGTACTGGTTCCGGTTTATATTAATTTTGGTTTTAATTAATTTTTAAATTTGGTTTAAATCAAATTAATTTTCGGTTTAACAATTTTTAAACAATTAGGGCTTCCTTTTTTTTGTCGTCTTCCTCCTATTCCCTGTCACACAAGAATACGTGAGACAGTTTCATGGTGATTAACGACAGGAACTTATAATTCATATTGATTGGAGATATGAATCACATAATTCTCATCTCTGGAAACTGGAGAGTTGAGAAAACTAAGTGGTCGTTTGAAGTAGATAATGAGAGAGGTAGCATATTAGTTGCTGATACATCAAAGCTTTTTAGAGCTCGACCACTTTTATATAAAAAGCCTATAATGTTATGGAATTTTTTTTGCTAAGTCACTTATATTAGTAATTAAATATTGAATCCAAAATTGTATGTGGCCTGTGTGAAAACACATTGTAATACACTAATACTATCAGCAAATGACGGTGTAAACCGATTCAATAGGAAACTATGTATACCAGTGTCAACAACAACTCAAGAACCGATGGTAACACTCTGATCCCTCAACAAGATCTTCTTGGCAGTAACCCATAGGATCTCTGACCAGCAATATTATTCACTAGTTCAAATTTGATTCCCAGCCTTGTTGCTCAAGTTTCTCTCTTTTAACCATGTTCTTCTCTAATGTCTTTCTGGTACTGACTCTTCCTGACCAACCAAAGGAAACCCACAAGTTATATTCCTTCTTGTTCACTCTGACTGTATGTAAGAAAAGATAAAATAAGAACCTTGAGACGAGATCAGTATCAGAGATCCCCAGCATCCGAATATCAAGCAAGGCTCCGTTGGTGA